GGCTATTTCTCCAAACTATAGGAGGAAATACACAGTTTGCATGCCGAACGTTTGTACTGTTGAATGGTACTTTAAGTACCCACATTGTAGTTTGGTTGTTTTTGCAAATAAGTTGCCGTAGACAACTCTCAATTTTTTTCTGAAATGATCCAAGATATATTTAGAAGTTCTCAGCCAAACTGTAATTGGCCTTATTATAATTTTAATGATAAAAATAATTGCATTTAGTTCATCATGTTCATCATAAATGTTCATAACTCGTAGAAATATACTACAGGTCAAATGAAGGCAAGCTGCCGTATAATGTGTGTGTGTTCCCCGGAGGAGCACGTGTCTGCCTCATGTCAATCAATTACATTTTCAGACTAATCCCAGAGACTGCAGTCGAAAGTTGTGGTTAGAAACGCAGACGTCTTGTGCAAAAACCGAGTGAGTCACGCGTTTGATTGCGCCTACCTGCCATTACAGATTACAGTTAGTTTGTTTTGTGACCACAGGAGTTGTTTCTGTACAAAGCTGCTCAAGATGTCAGAATGTTTCACATTTAACACACAATTCTGTTTTTTTCAAAGGATGGGTCAATTAAAAAATGTTTTGCAAGCAATTAAAAGATAGACCTTTATGTAATGATGTCACAATAAATATAAGCATTACTGCAGCCTATAGTCTGCACACAATCTTAACCTATTTATGATAATATTTAGCACTTTTCTCATATGTTTAGTAGGCTACCCACCTATATATGACTACATCTCATTGGGTCTTTACATCTAGTCTTTTGGTCCAGATGATTCACATCTGCTCTGGTGGACTTGTGTGTAAACAACATGTTTTATTGCAGCACAGCAGTCACATGTCTCCCATTAAAACGGCCTACTGCCAATCGTATGCTTTGGAAATTATTCGAGTAAATAGGATAACACATCTGTTGATTTTGCCTGTGTTTATTCATCACCTAATTGATCACGGATTTTTTAAAAACTTTTAGATAAGATCAGAGCTTCTACCTGCCCCGCCCCATCAGACTCCCATTAGTTTTTCTGGGACCTCTGCGTCAGCACCGGAGTCGCGCAATTGCGCAACTGCAAGTTACAACGTGCAACATGCACCTAAACGTACATCGGAGGGGAAATCAAGCAAAACCGGGCGTAACGGTGTACAGTCATTGACGCGGGTTGCGGCCAATTTACATTTGAATCTCCTTCGAGTTTGCTGCTTTTCCTAGTTTTATCGCAGGTTGCTCTATGTGTCCTAATGATGGGAGACCTCATACCGTACGACAGGCGCATCTCATACCGTGTGAGTAGGCTACTTTTATACGGGCCATAGTTGCATTGCATTTGTTACTCGACTTTATATGTGCAGGAAATGTTCAGACAGTATATTGATAAGTGGGTTTGTGTTGAAAAGAGTTTCCTGAAGTGTCTTGAATAACTGCCTTTTGAACTAATTGACCGACATATAAAGTGGCTCTCGTCTTTTTCTCCGGTACAGACCAGTACCATTTACAAGTTTAAAATGTGTCTCACATTGGATGTCATTCCAAGAGTTGTATTTGATTATCATGAAGTACAATTGTATGGGATTACTTAACACATTTTCTGGGTGCACCCTTGTATGTATGCTGGGGCGACACTTATGCAAATTGTGGGCCATGAAATGTCAAGTTATTATAAAAAACATACAGTTCCTTGGGAAAGTGTTCAGATGGTTACAAGTTACAACTGTGATGTGTTTAGACATAATTCAAAATAGAACACGTAACTTTTTGCCATCTATTTAAACCCAATTAGCAGAAACAATGAAATATCTCACATAAGTGTTCTGACTCTTTATTCAGCACTTTGTAGAAGCACTGATCACATCTACAAGTCTTCTTGGGTATATGACTCAACAGACTGGATTTGGGCATATTCAGCAATTCATCTTCGTAGATCCTTTTTGTTAAGACAAGTCAGATTGAAAAGCAAGCACGGTGGACTGTGAGTTTCTGGACACTGACGACATATGTTCAGACAAGATAATCTTCTTCTGTATGTTCTCGATGTCCTTCAAACAGCATTTCATATGTCATTTCAAACAGCATTTCATATGTCATTTCAAACAGCATTTATTATGTAATTTTAAACAGCATATCATATGTCATTTTGAACAGTATTTCATATGTCATTTTAAACAGCATTTCATATGTCATTTCAAACTGCATTTCATATGTCATTTCAAACAGCAATTCTTATGTCATTTCAAACAGCATTTCATATGTCATTTCAAACAGCATTTCATATGTCATTTCAAACAGCAATTCTTATGTCATTTCAAACAGCATTTCATATGTCATTTCAAACAGCATTTCATATGTCATTTCAAACAGCATTTCATATGTCATTTCAAACAGCAATTCTTATGTCATTTCAAACAGCATTTCATATGTCATTTCAAACAGCATTTCATATGTCATTTCAAACAGCATTTCATATGTCATTTCAAACAGCAATTCTTATGTCATTTCAAACAGCAATTCTTATGTCATTTCAAACAGCATTTCATATGTCATTTCAAACAGCATTTCGTATGTCATTTCAAACAGCATTTTTTATGTAATTTCAAACTGCATTTCTTATGTCATTTCAAAAATGCATTTCTTATGTCATTTCAAACTGCATTTCATATGTCTTTTGCTCTTTCATGAAGGTCTGAGTGATTGCGTTTTCGGAGACGGTTGTCCATTTGGCAGGTTGTACATAGAAACTCTGAAGCTCTGTTAGAGAGGCCAGTGAGAGACTTGGTCACCTCCCTGACCATGGCCCTTCTTACTCTAAAAATAGTATTGGTGGTTTCAAAGTTTCATAATAATGGAGCTGCTTTGCTCATGGGAACCTTTAATGCTTTATCCTTTTTATAAGAAACCTCACCAGAACAAATGTCTGCCTCAACACAATTTTATCTTGGGGGCCTACAGAGAGTTCCTTGGACTTTATGGCTTGGTTTTGGCTCTGATGTGCACTGTGTAGTCTGGGTCCTTATTTAGACAGATGTGTGCCTCAAATCCAAAAAATCACATCCAATCTGAGCACAACACTCAACACGTAGCATATGATACCATTCAATAATAACATATGATACCATTCAATAATAACAGATGATACCATTCAATAATAACATATGATACCATTCAATAATAACATATGATACCATTCAATAATAACATATGATACCATTCAATAATAACATATGATACCATACAATAATAACATTCAATAATAACATATGATACCATTCAATAATAACATATGATACCATACAATAATAACATACAATAATAACATATGATACCATTCAATAATAACATATGATACCATACAATAATAACATACAATAATAACATATGATACCATTCAATAATAACATATGATACCATTCAATAATAACATATGATACCATACAATAATAACATATGATACCATATAATAATAACATTCGATACCATACAATAATAACATTTGATACCATACAGTAATAACATTTGAAAACCTTACAATAATAACAGATGATATCATACAATAATAACAGATGATATCATACAATAATAACAGATGATATCATACAATAATAACAGATGATATCATACAATAATAACATATGATACCATACAATAATAACATATTATACCATATAATAATAACATTCGATACCATACAATAATAACATTCGATACCATACAATAATAACATTCGATACCATACAATAATAACATTTGATACCATACAGTAATAACATATTATACCATATAATAATAACATTCGATACCATACAATAATAACATTCGATACCATACAGTAATAACAGATGATACCATACAATAATACCATTTGATACCATATAATAATAACATTTGATACGATACAGTAATAACATATTATACCATACAATAATAACATATTATACCATATCATAATAACATTCGATACCATACAATAATAACATTTGATACCATACAGTAATAACATTTGAAAACCTTACAATAATAACAGATGATATCATACAATAATAACAGATGATATCATACAATAATAACAGATGATATCATACAATAATAACAGATGATATCATACAATAATAACAGATGATACCATTCAATAATAACATATGATACCATACAATAATAACATATGATACCATACAATAATAACATATTATACCATATAATAATAACATTCGATACCAAACAATAATAACATTCGATACCATACAGTAATAACATTCGATACCATACAATAATAACATTTGATACCATACAGTAATAACATATTATACCATATAATAATAACATTCGATACCAAACAATAATAACATTTGATACCATACAGTAATAACAGATGATACCATACAATAATAACATTTGATACCATACAGTAATAACATATTATACCATCTAATAATAACATTTGATACCATACAGTAATAACATATTATACCATATAATAATAACATTCGATACCAAACAATAATAACATTCGATACCATACAATAATAACATTTGATACCATACAGTAATAACATATTATACCATCTAATAATAACATTTGATACCATACAATAATAACATTCGATACCATACAGTAATAACAGATGATACCATACAATAATACCATTTGATACCATATAATAATAACATTTGATACCATACAGTAATAACATATGATACCATACAATAATAACATTTGATACCATACAGTAATAACATTTAGTCCACAGTGTTTTTTCTGGAGATAAGAGGAATAATAAGAGACTCTGTCCTCAAAGGACTGGAGTTGCCCATCTCTGAACCAGATGAGTTGTAGTCTACAATGAACTTTGACCCTATCCCTGAACCTATAAGGAACCTGCCTCAGGCTAGAACTGGGAGAACTCCACCAATGGGAGGGGTTGAGCTCACCAACCATTTGCCTTTGTTCTCCAAAGTAAGTTACATTCACATTGTCGAGACCAGCGCTTTACAAGGAGTTGGTAGCTCACTGGTAGAGTGCATGCTTTGTTTCTATGATGTCCAGGGTTCAATGCCCGGCTACTCCCCAGGTCTCTGTTGCATATGAGAAATTGTTCTCACTCGGCACACCTGGTTAACTAAAGATTCAATAAAAATAACCTCAGATACGAGGAGGTTGGATTTTTAGGACATAGTAGGTCGAGGCAGTCTACACAGAGGCTTTTGTTGCGTCATGTCTTCGGGGGGTACAAGGATTACAGCAACCATTAAGGGTTATGACATCACAACCCAGCACGAGTTGGTAATAAATATTATCTGGTTGACTGAGATCCCTCTGAAAATATTATGCTTTTCTACTGACGTTTCAGATCGGTTATGGATTATTCAGTATTTTATCTGTAATTGAGTGGCCAGCAGAGTCACCAGATCTCAAACCTATTGAGGTATAATGGGAGCAGTTTGACTGTATGGAACGTAAAATGTGCCCATCAAGCCACTCCAACTTTTGGGAGGTGCTTTAGGAAGCATGTAGGGAAATCTCTTTAGACTACCTCAAAATAATAATAATTAAAATGCCAAAGTTCAAGCAAGGCTGTAGTTGCTGCAATTGAAGAATCATTTGACATACTCAAAGTTTAAAGGATACAATTATGATTTCAATTAAACATAATTATTTCGAACCTGTCCTATTCATTTAACCTTTTCTGATTCATACTCATTTCACGATTGTTTTTATGGAAAACTTGGACATTTCTAAGTGACCCGAACCTTGTGTACATTTCTGTGAGTGTGACGGAGACCACAATCTAATCAGCATCATCAACATTGGAGAAACGATAATTTGCTCAGGGACACACATTATTTTCACCTTTACAGCCTGGCAATTCAATTCATGATCCCTTTGGTCACTCGTCACGATAACTGTCAACTTGTTTCTAAAGTCATTTGTTGCACACTTGATAAGGGCATGGTTCTTGCAATGGCAATGCTGTGTGCTCAGTTCCCAAAATGCGTTTCCAATTCCAAAAGTGTATATAAGTTGCTGAGTTACATCAGTATGTGTGCTGATTGCTCAATTATCACCTTGTGACTGTAAAACTTCTTAATATAAATGTTTGGCTCAGAGATGGTCCCACCTGCCTAGGTAACACATTGCTTTGACTTCGCAAAAGGTTCACTGTGTTTTGTTTTAGTTTCTTTCCAGACTAAGACGTGTAAAGTCTTTGAAGTCATTCAAGAAGGGCTTCCTAAAGAGGATGGAGCATTCATCGATCATCAGATCCAGCTCAAGTCTTGTTTTTGGCTGTATTCTGGCGTCTGTCGCTTGTTTACTGTACCCATGTCCTCTCATTGGGTTCCACTTGATGATGGCAAATGCTTTTGTCTTTTCAATAGTATTATAACATTGGAAAAGGATCACTGAAGGACATGTAAGATCTGTCATGTACCAGGCTACAATGCAAGATAGGATAGTATACAAAAACGTAGTACTCTTTCATTTAACTGACTGGAAATCAACTGTAAAAGTTACATTAAAAACTGGCCATAATATGACTAAGCATCCAAACCACAGTTCTCAAGTTTCACATCAAAATAGCCACATTTACGCAAACAACACAAGTCTGACGTTTTATATTTTCTTTGAATAATTGGTCTGTTCACTAATCTCATTACCTCAGAAGTGGGCCCAATGTGAAAACATCTGATGAGATTGGCCGAACAGACAATTATTGGGTGAAAAGTACTTTGGAAATTCTGCCGTTCTTCGATACAGGTTTCTAAATGATGAACATGTTCTGTTGTGTTCTAAGTTGGGAGTACTTGTTCTGTTGTTCTCTTAGGGGAGTGGAAGTGTTCTGTTGTTTTCTTAGATGGGTTGTACATGTTCTGTTGTTCTCTTAGGGGAGTGGAACTGTTCTGTTGTTTTTTAATTGAAAACATTATGTTGTACTCTTAGGGAAGAGGAAACATTCTGTTGTTCTGATTGGAAACTCTACTCTTAAGAGTGGATATGTTCTCTTGTACTCTGAGATATGATAAGAAATATTATGGTGTAGTCTAATTGGAAATATTATGTTTCGTGTCACATAATAGGAGTGTAGTGCAGGGAAAGCCACACGCACAGCCAGGATACACGTTTGTGGATATTTTATTACAAAATAAAACAAGAACCGACACGAAAGGCAAAACATGTAACTGAACTGAAATTAAATTGCTATTGAGCGACTTACTAGATAAATACCAAACAGACCACTACACAAGGAAAGAACTTACCAACACGAATCTGGGACTTTGAAATAATGAGAAGCAAAGTGCAACCAGTGAATTAAACAGTACAAATTATTAGTTAACTCACACCTGGTGTGCACAATTAAAACAACCCAACCGGAGCTATTGTGTGCACCCCACTAAAACCCCGGAGTGTCCACCACTTGTAACTTTGTACTCTTAGAGGAGAGTAATCGTTCTGTTGAACTCTTAGTGGAAAGAACATGTTCAGTTGTTCTTTTAGAACAATAGAAATATTATGATGTACTCTCCTATCAGTGGAAATATTATGATATACTCTTCTAGCAGTGGAAATATTATGTTGTACTCTTCTAGCAGTGGAAATATTATGTTGTACTCTTCTAGCAGTGGAAATATTATGTTGTACTCTTCTAGCAGTGGAAATATTATGTTGTACTCTTCTAGCAGTGGAAATATTATCATATACTCTCCTATCAGTGGAAATATTATGTTGTACTCTTCTAGCAGTGGAAATATTATGTTGTACTCTCCTATCAGTGGAAATATTATGTTGTACTCTTCTAGCAGTGGAAATATTATGTTGTACTCTTCTAGCAGTGGAAATATTATGTTGTACTCTTCTAGCAGTGGAAATATTATGTTGTACTCTTCTAGCAGTGGAAATATTATGATGTACTCTCCTATCAGTGGAAATATTATCATATACTCTCCTATCAGTGGAAATATTATGATGTACTCTTCTATCAGTGGAAATATAATGATATACTCTTCTATCAGTGGAAATATTATGATATACTCTTCTAGCTCTGGAAATATTATGATATACTCTCCTATCAGTGGAAATATTATGATGTACTCTTCTATCAGTGGAAATATTATGATATACTCTTATAGCAGTGGAAATATTATGATATACTCTCCTACCTGTGGAAATATTATGATATACTCTCCTATCAGTGGAAATATTCTGTTGTACGTTAAATGGAGTTTTAGCATCAGGGCGGGCAGTGCCTCTCACCTGTAATCAGACAGAGATCATTGGTTGGTTTCACAATGTTTTCACATGGTGTACGATGCCGAAACTGTAATATAAACCTCTGGGTTAATGTGACAGTTTCATTCCAATTAACGACGCTGTCAGTCTGATCCAAGTCCTGCCATTCCTATTAAGTGTGCACGAGTGACAAAGGAAAATAATACAAAACTTAACAACCTTTTCATCATGTCTCCAGCTCTGTGAAATGTTTACCCAACATACTCCTCCCCTATAAAATCGCAATTCCTCAGATTATCTCACTTAATCCAGAACTTAAATATTTCCCAATTTGTTTTCATGAGTAGTCGGCCACGTGAGTGATTATCCTTCAGATATGTTCCCTTAGACATTTTTCTTTCATGACACATCCAGAACTCACCATGTGTGAAGTTCTCAACCTAAGGGACACGACCCTAAAACGGGCCGGTGGGAACCCGAAGCGTAGGCCTTTCGAAATCTAGTAGGAACAAAGCAGTGAGCAGGCCTCCACTCCCCATTTACTCAGACTGGAGGAATGTGTGAACAGATTTAGCAGATGAGAGCTGTCATTCAGGCCAACTCTGGTAGGTTAAGACTGAAACGCAAATGAATGTGTACATGATCTGTTTGTATTGTACACACATCTCAGTGTCATGGTTTCGTAGTGTATGCACGGTGTAAATGATATGCTACAGTAATAGTTAATGGCCTAGTTTTGTAATCTAATACCCCCGCAATGGGAATTGCAACAGAATAAAGGCAAGTAATTAAGTGGTTGCCAAGTTTGCCATCCAGCAAAGAATTGCGGATGGAATCCTAAATATTTTCTGTTGACAGTTGATATGATATCACACTGTGTATAACACGGTTCTTCTAATTAAATTAATTCTGAAGTGCAAATAAAAAATAGACCATTTACAAATATTGCTATAATACATTAAGAGAAGTGAAAATGTGAACTAGTCAAAAACACCCATTGGTTTGGATTCTTGTGCCACCAATCTGACCACTTCAGTCTTAGGTTCTAGCTTTATCACTTCTGCTAACTGATAAGTGGCTATAAGTGGCTACATATCAGTTATGCTACTCGAATATGCTAATGCTCTGTAATGTTATGTAAAATTCTGATGATTTGATAGGCTCCTCCAAATGCACACTCAGCAACAGTTTCGGTTCTTGAGAAAAGCCAGTGCCAGATGATCTGATTGACCGACCCGGGCACTTAGCATTAACATATTTGGCTAAATATATGCGTAATACAGTTGGAAACCAAAACCATGTAGAACTCGGCTTAGGAAAAAACAAAGATATCACAAACTCAACAGGCAGCCAATGAAGGGACTGGTTTTATGTGTGTTCTCCTTCTGGTCTTTGTTAGCGTTCATGCAGGCTGCATACTGAATTAGAGCTGGCTAATGTTGGTGTTTCCTGTCACGCCGGGACGGGGGGCATTTAAAACACATTTCCCATGTCGCCGAGATTCTGGAGAACATCGATCCCAGAGAGAGTTTCAACCGAGCCGGCCTCTTGTGGGCTGATGAGAGAAGGATGTACACAACATCCATCGGCCCCCACTGTGACTGGCAGAGGGTGGAAGACGCCAGGATCTCACACCCGGACCCAACCTTCGGGAGGAGCTCTCTGAGGTAAATAGAGTAACACTAGGAGCCTGAGAGACTGGCTTGGAATGGAGATCGATTTCCCTCTCACCGCCGCTCTACAAAACCCAAAACCTTTGACAGCGGTCGGCGGGGTGTTAGTCTGTGCCCGAGACCTGATGCTCAATGTTTGGAGCGGGTGGGGAGAGCGGTTACTGTGCTC